AACCGAAGGAAAATGCTTTGTTATTTCATTAATTCTTAAATACATAACTTTAAATTTGATTTAATTACTTTAATAAACAAAAGAGTACCACCACTTGAATTATTCCATATTGATCTAATAGTTTATATACAGTCAAAAATCTTTAATCCGGATTCGTCGGGACTTCGGCGATTTCGGATTATCGGTTTTTCCGGATTTTAGATCACCAGTTTAAATCTGGTAAGATGGCATGCAGAAAATATAAAATTAAAAATATGAAACCGTAATTTATGAAATAAAAAGCAATTATGATCTAAAGAATATCAAAATTTACAAAAACAAAGCTTAATATTTATTTGTTTATTTTATTAAATATTTCTTTCAACGCACGCATACGTAAAGCGTAATAGTCGAAATTAGAAAATTGCAACCAGAAAACTATTTGATTTGTATTCATAATATTTATAATGACGAGGAATTTGATTTAAATCATATCAAAGACGGAGTACATCAAGATGAAATACTACATTTAGTAAGGAATTATAAGCTGAATAAAATAAAAACATCTGCCCTTAAGATAAGGCTAGTGCTGACAGATCAACTTCCAATTCATTACGCGCCACATCGTCCCCCCCCCTGCGCTGAGGAGCGTGAAATTGATAAACATATTTCGGATATGCCTTTGTCCATTTTTTGCAGCAATTCCTCTTTTTGTTTGATGGACATCGGAACATGCTTTCTCTTTGTAGAGCCTTTGGTAGCTCCAGAATCGGAAATTCTTTTTGACATAATCGAAAGTTCAAGCTTACTTTTATAAAATTGCCCTAACAGTCTGCAAAAAATAATAAGCCGAGTACAATTCGAAGATTAAGGAACAATGCAATCTGCAACATTAACTGAAATAGATAATTAGATAATTTTAGCTTACCTTATACCATCCGTTATACATTAAACGTGCATGCGTAAATGTATTATGCGCATGCGTTGACTCATGCGCAGAATGTTTGCAGCTTTGAGGTCCGGATTAAAGACTTTTGGCTGTATTTCCAAAGCAATGGTTTAAGATATACTCACTTTTTCAGCAGTAAAGTGAAATATTTCAAACATTGACTTTCCGATTGTTATTAAGAAGTGTTCTACGCAGTAGTTCTTATAATAATTATTTTCTGCTTTTATTTTTACTTACACTTTTTCTGTTTTCACTTTTCCGCATATGTTGGAAGAAAAACAGAAAAAAAATCTCTGAGCGTCAGAATGTTATGAAGAAAAGAAAGTGAGACGAAGACTTAGTAAGCCAGAACTTTAAAATAACTTGGTTTTTCAAAAACCCAAAGACTACCCAAGCTGACACTACTAGCACTAGTTCTCAGCTAACCATGGAAATTACCAAAAGAAGCTAATGATCAGAAAGAGTTAGAAAGAATTTTCATGTGGGAATTACCTTTAACTTCAATGCAGCCGGACGAAAAAAACAGAAGAAATACTATTGAAATATACAATTTCTGCATTAGATATGCATTTGCCTGTGCCTGATGATTCCAGATTATGCCCAAGTACATTATTACTATTCCAAGTTAAAGTCTTAATAGAAAATGGTCCTAGATATTACCAAAACCTGATTTCGAGTTTCAGTTTCCCAAAAGACAAAAATGAACGTAAATTTTTTAAGATGTACTTTTGTCGAATCTTGCCAAACAATGAAAGAGTTAATTCAATTTCTTAGAACAATTAGGAAAGAATAAACCTGTTAATTCAGAATTTCACATTTTATAAAAAAAAATCTGATGTGTACACCACATGACTTCCTTGTACGGAATATTAAATTACATTATACGAATTTTTTTCTTTAATTTCATTTAAATTGATTGGATTGAAAATCTACTTCGTCGACAGCGCATAAACCACAATAGAATAAATGCACTCTTTAAAATTCACTATATTTGTTTACTATAACAACACTCTAAATGTCCAAAATTTATATCATTTGAAGAATTATCGTTGCCTTATGTTCTATTCAAATACTATAATAAAGCTAAAACAGTGTATGAAAGAAATTAAGCAAACAAAACAGAAAAGAAACAGTTTTTCACAGACGATTTAGTATTTCTCATTCAATTAATTCAGTTCTCACTTCGCGACAAGGCAAAAATACATGAAAACTCAAAATATCTGCATTAAAAATTATGAAGTAAATCTTAAACACTTATTTCCTCGAAAAAATTCCAGAAAGGATTAAGCATGATTTAATTCGCAATAATAAATGAAGGTGTTATTTTTGTGTTGCGAAGCTTAGTTTCTCTAGATTGGCAACGAATCTACAATTCTGCTGTTTCAAATGTAAACAAATATGCCTGCCATGATATTTAAAACTTAACCGCACTTAAACAGATTTTAAATTGTTGATAATTGTACAAATATTGCTTCTAGAGTTATGAAAGGCATAAAAACCTTAACCGGAAGATAAAAACAAGATAATTCAATCATTTTTAAAGCAAAAAATGTACAATTTACAAACATATAAGAGTAAAGGAACTGAGATCACAGAGCCGGGTAATAGAGTGGATATATACTATATAAATATATTTATATACGTTTGGTGCGGCCAATTGCAACCAAAATATGAGGTGCACATCTACATGTTATAGCAGTCCTATATACAAAATTTCAACATTCTGAGGCTACTCGTTTTTGAGTTATGCGAGATACGTACGTACGTACATACGTTCGTACAGACGCCACAAAAATTCTCTTCAGAATTCATTTTAAAGCAGTTTTATAATTTTTTTGGAGGAAAAGAGTATTTTATTCTGTCCTTATGTACAGATATCGCGCAAAAACATCGTTAAATTGCATTCGATAGCGGTCAAAATGGATATTTTCTTTGAAATATGTTGTCTGAAACTTTTCGCGATTACAATACTTCCTTTTTACTTCGTACAAGGAAGTAAAAACAGACTAAGTAATTGGCATGATGTTATTGAAAGAATTATTTATGCCATCCAGTTTTTAGCCAAACAAAACTTAGCCTTCCATGGTTCCAGTAGCAAATTATTCGAAAGAAATAATTTTTTAAAGTGTATAGAAATGATCACAAAATTTGACCCTATCATGTCTGTATATATTAATAAAATTCAAACTGAAAAAAATATGCTTCATATTAATAAAATTCAAAATGAAACAATTAGCTTATTAGGAGATAATATAAAGCAAATTATTTTAAATAAAGCCAAACAGGCAAAGCATTTTTCTATTGTTTTTCTATTTTCTATTGATTGTACCCTTGATGTGAGGCATCAAGAGCAGATATCTATTTGTATGAGGTATCTTAATTTAGAAAATACGGACATGAGTATTGAAGAAAGGTTTTTAGTATTTTGTATTACAACAAATACAAACAGCATTCTTATTAAAGGCTTTTAGAGGAAAGTGGTTTAGGTATTAGTAATTTACGCGGCCAAGAATACAACAATGGTTCAAAACATGAGAGGTAAACATTTTTCGAGTAATTATGCTCAAATTATTGCTTTTCCGAATTAAAAATTTAACTTGAGTTTAACATAATATGTAACTACACTTACCTTTTTTTAATGTAGAAAAACAATAACAACAAACAATCATAAAAAAAGATAATGTTGCACATATTACTACAATTACTACAGTAGACACGAAATAAGGATTAAGCGATTTGTCGAATGTGTCTACCCTCGACATACGCATTGGCATCAAGCATTTTCACGTTCAAACAAGACAGAAGAGAACACCAGAAACGAACTCCTGCTCTGATTAAAACTTGCGGTCAAATAAGACAGTGTGCTAGGAGGAAGGAGCACTCAGACCTGGCAAGCTCCAGGCTGCCTTAACACAGTTAAATGCCCCAACCCCTCGGTCAAGCCGATGCTGAGTCAACAGGAATACTCAGCAACTCACATTCCATGTCCCCGTTCTGGAAGGGGGATAATAAAAACATCTGCTATCAACAGGGACTCCAACCCCGGGCAGGAGAATGAAGTCACTTAAACACTGTCATATAGACTGGGCCACCAATCCGGCTTGCTAACACTGTCATGGTATACAAATGTCGGCTTTAGGCACCTCAGGGGGAGGCCAAGGAAGGATATGAATATGCAGTTTTGAGGCACCAGGCGCCCACTATAAACCTTAAGCAGTTTAAAGGATCGCTGAATTCGCACCCTCCGTCAATGGGTGTGTTTCACCCCGGACAGCCATGAATATCTGACTATATAGCTCCACCACAACCAACGGACAAGACAGTAACAATGGTCCCTGCCGAGCCTGAAACAGCCATTGCCAGAGATGACTTCAGTCCTGCGGAGACTGAATTTAAACACCCATGGCCGAGACTGCGTTAAGTACAGATCCTAATCAGTAGTTTCCCAGGTTTCACTTGAGTCGACTCCCTGAGGGGTGTTCAAATAAAACAAGAATTTTCTTGTTCAGACAGGCAGCGAGACAAACTTCTTGTTTTAATGATTGCTCGGCGCCATTTTGACTCAGCGCCATCGTGCGCCGCACCTCCTTACACCTATTGTCAGCCTGAGCACAGCAGTAAGCTACATAGTATGGGTAAATGTGAATAAATTGTAAAAATATAAGAAATGAAATGAGTTAAAGAATGTGGCATGCATTTCATATTGTCACAAAATGGTTATGATAGACAAATTTTTACTGCCAAGTTATTGCTGATTATAGCATAAAAATGTAACTAACAATTAAATTAATATGATTAAAATAATATAAACATGCAATTATCAAAATTTGTTAAGGAAGCAAATTTTTTAAATTATATTTTTCAGTATGCTTTAACAATTTGTCATTATTATTTATTTGGTATCATAGTCACTTAAAATTTGTGATTTTATTCTTGGAACTTTTATTGTTCATTTAACTTATATGGATCTCAAATGTTAATATATTTTGTAGTTATATTTAATGACTGTTAAGAAATATAGGCAACTTTTTTTAACGTTTGAATTTTTAGTTATTTGAAAATTATATTTTAGGTAAACATGTCTAGTAGTACCTTTGAAGTAAAAGATACTGAAAATGAAAAAGTCATTGGTTTTGGCCTGGAAAATTGTGACGAAAATGGTATTACAATGGCTACTCAAGTAGATTCTGAGCTACCTAAAGATCACACTTACACAAAAGAACCAGATGTTTTAGAGGTTAGTTATTCTTTATTGTCATAAATATGTGATAAAAAGAAATTTGTTAGATCATCCCATAAGTAAAGTCGTTTTTCTTCATGTATAAGCTTGTTAAAATGTTTTAACTCATTTGAATAAGTGGTTTTTGTAGATGTGTACATCTTCTTTAAGTTTTGACTTGCAAGCATCTGAATTCTGATTTCTTGCTTTAATAGCCTATCGAGAAAATGGCAGACACAGAAAAACATATCAGATACATTATGCTTTACATATATATAGAGAGAGATGTAGATATATAAAGCAGTAGCACAGTAAATGCTGTAAAAAATGTGAAGGAAGTGTGTGGTAAACGCATTTTAAATATTCACAAGTGCCAGCAATGTTTCTGTGAATTTCAGCTAGAAGACATTAGTTTGAAAGATGCCAACCACTGTGAGCACCTTGTTATTATATATATATATATATATATATATGTTACCGTGAAAGACCGAAATTGGAAAATGTCGACTGTCACCGGAGAATATCAACATTCACCAAATACGTCGGTGAAAGACCAAATATTTCACTACATTCTTGTATATTCGGACCCTCACCGGTGTATGTCGACAATCACAGATATGCTCTGGTGAAAGTCGAAAAGAGAGGTCATAAAGTGCCATAATAGTTTAAGTTGTTGCAATAAATAAGATTTGAATTATATAATTTAGTAAGTTTTTTATTACTGTTATTTTATTTTCTCATTTAGAACGTACTGTATAATTACGCAAGTTTTTAACTTCTATTATTTTCCTTTCTCATTTTGAATGTATTGTGTGTTTTAGGTTCTCATGTTCTTATTTCAAGTCTCAAGTGTGTTTATTTGTGACTGAATTACGGAGGAGAAAATATAATATTGTTATATGTTCAACATTCACCTTTAGTACATGGTAATGTCAACATTGACCGGTGTAAGTCAGAAATAAGAGTCTGTATGTCGTGTAAGTCGTGTATGTCCGAAATATTTGGAAAATATTTCGGACATACACGAAGAGACTATGTGAATGTTGACATTCACCGGTGAAAGTCGATATTCTCCAGATTTCGGTGTTTCACCGTAAACATATATATATATATATATATGATGAGATCTACAATTGTAAGAAATCTATACTGAGGAATTGACAACTGTGCAGTAGTTAGTTCATCATGATCAATTATTGGTCCATTGCTATTTTAAGGAACTTGGAATTGTGCCTTAGTTTGGCAGGTGCTTCCACTTGAATTTAGTGATACTAATTGAAGAGATTGTGTAAGCATCTGCCATGCTGTTCATTTATGTGCAAAATAATTCTTTTTTCGAAATGTCTAGTACTTGATGATGAAAACTGACTGGTGTTTTGAAGCTTGCAGAATTCCGCTGATGGAAAAGCATATAATACCCAAGAGGCACTTGAAATGAACCTTCAAGACCATTTCTCTAATAAGTCAGCTGATTTCTTCATGAATAGCATAAAAAGTTCAGCATTGGATATTTTATGCTATTCAAAATATTCAAGCATTGGAAAATACTTCAGCATTGGAAGAATTTTATTGATTTCAGGGGGGAAATACATAATTGATCAAATAAGTATCTTTCTTATTATTTTATTTTTTCAAAACATGCTTTGAAAAACGGCATTACTTATAGGGTGACCTGATACCAGATAATGCTTATTTGCCAGCTTCTATGTATCCTACTTGAAATTTATTAATTTTCTCACCATTTTAAAGATTTGCTGAACAATAATAGTTTTTTATCTCTTTGAAAATTTTATTTTAGCATCAATTAAAAATTATTAAATTAAATTCAGCATGATAATGTACACTTTATGGTTGAGATTTGGTTTAAATATCATTATAATTACTCCATGTTTTTGAATTTGAATCAATTCATTTATGACCTAAGAAATAAGATTTTCATGCAAAATTAGAAAACTCTGTATAAGCTGAATTTTAGGATCCTTCTATAAATGCAGTTAAACATTTCACTAAAAGTGTGGTCTTCTAATTTAGACTTATCACACAAACTGCCAGTGAGTGACTTTCTTTTGAAAGTAGAATTTTATCTTTAGTTTTCTTTTGAAAAATAAAGGATATTTTTTCCATTCTTGAAGCATGCACATTATTATATTCAGGGGTGTTTGTGCTCCGGGGAAACCCCGGAATTCCGGGGATTTTGAACTTCGATACCCAGAAATTCCGGGGATCGTCGTTCAAAAGGAAGTAGGAATAATAATGAATTATTTATTTTGATCTGGGGTAATTTTGTTTGCTTTGAAAGCAGAGAAAACGCAAGGTCAGTGTGTGTGGTGGTGAAAACTTTTCCTTTCTTTCTCCAAAGGCAGTGATAATGCGTGAAAAGGGGAGAAAAACTTCTTTTTTGTTCTTTCCTTATTGTGAAGTTATGACTCATTCCCCCTGGCTTCTCGGACATTCTCTTCTGGATTCTTTTCGGCAAGTAGGCGCGGCAGAAAAAAAAAGGGAGAGACTTCGTTCGACCAGATGTGCGATCACGTGACTCTGGGTTCAAAGGTCTTATCTCTCCTGGCGTGGCGCCAATAAGTAGAGAAGGGAGATTTTTCGCCATATCAGCTATTTGTCATTGATCGCTTCTCAACTTTTTTTTCTCCGCTGTGTAAAATTTTCGTTTCATTTATTGATGCACGGGTAAATTTTTCGTTTCGTTTATTGAAATATTTTTTTATTTATGTACGCAAGAGAATTTCAAGGAAATTTCTCAATATAAATAGTGATATTATACAATTAGAAGAAGGTGTCTGGAATGCATTTAGGAGGAATTGGATTGAAGGGAGAGATGGTAATGGGGATACCATCGGCACATGGTGCAAGAAAATAAATGTTGCTGGACAAGCATATTGCGTTTTTTGTAACTCACTGCTGAAGTATGGTGGGGAAGGATTCAAGGCTTTCACAAATCATTCTAAAACTGTAATGCACATAAAATATTCAAAGTGCATTAGACATTCAATGACTTTAAGTAATTATGCTAATTCAAAAAATACTGATGACTTACTGGAGACTGATGCTCGGCCATTGAATAAAGTGACAAGAAAAGCACGCCAAAAGGTATTAATAACTTCGTTTATCGCCGAGAATTCTCTTTCTTTCAATGTAGCTCCCAATTTAATTGAACTCTGCAAACAGTTGAGCCGTGATCAGATGGCTCTAAACTCGTTGGAAATGTCCAGGACTACTGCATGTTATAAGATGAAATATGGGCTTGTAAAAACTATTAAGGAAAATATCATTAAAACTTTAAAGGAGACTCCATTTTCTCTAAATTTGGATGAAAGTACTAGCAATGCTCAAGAAAGTATACTGGCAATATTGGTGCAGTTATATGACAACAATCAAAATGAAGTTGTAGTTCATCATTTTGCATCTCTAAAGATGGAATCTTGCAGTTCAGAAGCTGTTTTTAAAGCAGTTGTTAATACTATTGAAGATAATATTCCATGGGAAAACTTAATTAGTGTATTAATGGATTCGTGTAACACCATACGTGGGAAAAAAAAAAGGTGTTGAAACCAGACTATGATCAAACAAAGCATCCCACTTATTAGATATTGATGGTGACACATGTTACACAGCTAATAACTGTGCAAAAAAATTTGCTTCATGTTTTGATAGATACTTAGAAGATTTGTTTGATCACATCTATTTTGATATGAAAAGCTGCAGTAAAAGAGAAAATTTTTTCAAAATCTGTGAATCCCTTGCCATTAAAAAACTTAAGCCCTTGAAGAGACCAGACCATACATAGGTGGGTGTACATTTTATGTGTTTTAGAAAGAATCAAAGATCTGTGGGATGCTCTTATTGCATTTTATTTTCACTACTTGGATAAAACTGAAAAAGGGGATTATTTTTCTCATGTTGAAACTGTATGCAATAAAAGAAATATTTCTGCAGCTCAGAAAAAAATTGTTGAAGGGCTGTATTCTTGCTTGTATTCCCAACAACTCACAAAGGATGCTTTAGCTCGGAAAAAAAAAAAAAAAAAAAAATACTAAATGGGTTATTTCTTATGCAAAACAAAACTTTATTGTATATGGCATTATATTCAGCAGTATTACCAGAGTTCAACGCATATATTAAATTATTTGAAACAAAAAAAACAATGCTTCATTTAATACATTCCAGTATTTATAAATTGATGGCAAAATTTTTCTCTTTTTTCATGAAGCCAGAAAATATAGAGTGCACATCTTATAATGATTTATTAAAGGTTGATGTCACAAGTCCAGAATTCCATCTACCTAGCAAAGTAATATTTACTGGTGCAGAAGCTTCCACTCTCCTGAAGAAATTATCAAAAAATCATCCAATAGCAAAAGAATTCCAAATTTCTCTGATGAAAGCTTATACTAATACAGCACAGCATATGAAACAGAAATTACCCCTTAAAAATTCATATCTAATTAGTTTTACAGCATTAGATCCAGAGCTAAGAGGTAAAACCAGTAAAATATTAGCTTTTGAAAAATTATCAACTTTTATGTCGCATATTTTTAGTGATAATGAAAAGTCAAAAGTAGAAGCTGAAATAAGGTTATACCAGAGTGATATTGATATCACCAAAGAAATGCTCTACACATCTGATGAAAGTGGAAATCAAGTCAAGTGTACAATTGATAAATATTGGTCTAAAGTTTTTAATTTAAAAGATGATTTCACAAATGATTATAAGTATCCTACATTGGCTAAATTGCTCAAAGCCTGCCTTAGCTGCTTCCATGGTCCATTAGTGGAAAGTGCATTCAACTTAATGGATACACTTGTCACTGACTATAGAACCTCTCTTAAGATTGATTCCCTAGATGCAGTGCAGACTATTAAATATGATTTAATGGCTTCTAAAGAAACCTCATGTGAAAAATATGGCTCCAAAAATCCAATGACTGATCCAATTCACAAAGATCTCTAACTGAATATGAACAGAAGTTGGAAAACATATCAAGAGGACTTAAAAACATGTA